AAATATAGGTGAATCTCTATATGCATAGAAAACCAAATGAAAATAGAACCGACTGTTTAGATAGTCGTAGTCATGTCACACCAGGGCAACACTGCGTCTGCAAAAACGGACTGGAAGCCGCTTCTTTGGTTTCACTCTCTGTGTGTCTTAACAGTCTCCTCCCCTTCCATTGTTCATTTGTTTTTCGGCGCCTGATCGCAAAAACGTGCATCAGCCCGTCCTCCTCCTTATTTTGCTGCCTTCCCACAGGTCCGAGCAGCCGATCAACTGGTTGCCTTAAAGGCAGCCCACGATGAGGAACTGCATAGCCGAGCAGAGAAGGCAGCTGAACAAATGGCCATTGACAAGACTGTTTTGCACTCCTCTATGGAACGCGACGACATCTTCAGGGAGCCCTTCGAAAGGGTCAAGAAACACGCTGATTTTAGGCATGAATTGGACTTGAACAATAAGTGGGTCGCGGAGCGGCGGCAGGTAAGGGCGCAGAGGCTGTTGCAAGCAGACAAAAATCGGTAAGGCTTGCTTCTGAGGCTACTTTTGTCCGAGATGATTGATAAATAAATTACTTCCAACATTTAAGTAGCCTAATTTGAAAAATGGTGGAAATCGGGCTACTAAAATGTTCAAAGTAGTATTTTTTATCAAGCTCGCAGAAGAGCGGTCTCCCAGGACAGTCCGCTTGGGTAAACATCATTCTTTTCTCCCCTCTCACAGCTTGAGCGCGAGGCCGATGCCGAGTCAACGCGAGTCTACCTGGAGGCATGTGACAGACAGAATGAGCTGTACAAGCACAGAGATGAGCTGCGACGGCAGAATGGCCTTGACACCGGCGAGTGTTTACGTGTAAGTGAGTTTTGCATAATTAAAACCTGTAAGTTAGTTCGACCATCGCAAACGAAGATGTCCACCATTTGCCCAAGAGCAGGGACGGTGACTGTGGTCAGGCATAGTGAAAGCAGACGCGCCGCCATCTATCCCACTCTAAACCCTCTCAACTGCATTTAAACGA